TAAGGTAAACCTTGGTTTTGTACTGTTTCAAACTGACTGACAGTCAACTCTTAAACAGAATTGTGGAGTTTTAATCGACAGTAGCTGTCTGTTACCAGAACAGTGGAGCACATTAATTTCTATTCTATTCAATAGAATTAGACACTATAAGACATTGTCAGAAAGCAGCTTTATAATATTCAAATAACATGCATTCTTTTCACAGAATTAAAATATTAAATAAGAACAAGCCATTGTATCAGGGAAGTTTGGGCTTTTTCAAAGCTAGGATTGCTGCCATATAATATTAATCATACATTCACATGAACAGAGCTCTTAGAAGATAGGCTTATTAGCTGTAATATTTCCATGTAAACACAGCTGACTGCATGGCTGTAAACTCAGCTGGTATGTCTAAATTGCTGACAGCTCCTTCCTTCCAGAGCTTTGATTTGAACCAGATGATCTGTTCTGTCTACAAGATTCTGTTTCTGTCAGCTAAGATACTGTGATGTTCAAAGTGGATTTTTTTGAAGTGCTCTTCACCGGAACATACTTCATAGTTTTTCCCTGATGGACGCTAGGGATGGTATTTTGACAACAAGCAGAATGTGGCATTGCCTGCTGGCCAACTGCTAATACTAGTCATTGTTAAATATTAAAGATTTTCTTAGCACAGTTGGATTTAGCATTTAGCATGTGAAGTTTGTTTAATTAAATGATCTAAATTTTGTGTGAACATGTATTCAGTGTTTGTTCACAGCTTTGGAATTAAATCAGAAACCTGCAGGCCGCTTTTTGTTGCTTTTATCCCAAAATTCGCCAGTATAGTAGACTGGCACACTCGAAGAATCATCTTTCTTCCGTCAGCCTTTACTGCAATCTTTCATAGGTCAGCATGTGCAAAGAGTGTGTATTCTTCAAAAAGCTCAGTTGTATTTGGTACTGTTTGAAACAACAAATGTCAGCTCCTCTGTGAAGGGTGATGTTATGTGATTTGGATTTCATTGTATTTATAACAACATCTTGTTTAAATCCCTAGAACAACAATGGAACTTTGCCTGAAAACAAGGTCATTGCTATGGAGCTGGGTGCCATGCCAGAACTGAAGAAATATATGAAGCGGTTGATGCCATTTGTGGCCATGATAAAGGTATAAGCTCACAATTTGTTCAAACACAGGTTGGATCCTTCAAAACATACATTAGTAATGTGTTTGGTTCAGGTTTGAGACACAAGGCAGCATGGAAACAAAGTAGACAATATGTCAGTCTTTAAAAGTCTAAAGATAGATTTATGTGAACACATTTGGTACTTTAAACAGTTAATTATGATTTAATAGCATTGTTTTGTATAGTTGATGATGTCTTATTTGATCAGATATTACCGTAACAAACTTTTCCCCATTTAGAAGCAGTGCATTTGTATAGCCACATGAGTAGAGGGGGGGAAAAAGAATAGAGGGAATGCATTTTCCTGTGGGGCTGGCCCAAATATTAAGAATCCTCAAGTATATATTAATTGATATTCAGTTCTCTATTTAGTGTTTGAAAGCTTAGTCGTTTTGACCTTTTTAATGTGGCCAATTAAGCTAAGCTAAGAGCAAAGATGCCTAATAAATCAGGGGAGCACTTGAAAATATTGGACAGTAAAAAATGCTCCATGCAAAATGTCCAGTAAGAGGCTGGTGTGCCATGGGGGAGTGACAAGTTTGATGAATCATCTCAGATATGCGAGTATAGTGATATTTACCAAGTACCACTAGTCTCCAGTGAGGGTGATGCTAAAAGCAGAAGGTTATAGTCTTAAACCTGTTTGTTGTGAATTCTGTCAGTGAATGAGGGGAACTTTCCATTATAAAAATGCCCTAACCCTAACCCTAACTATCCAGATAAAACAAAAGCAACTCAGTAAAAACAACTAATACTATACCTAAATAATATAAAATTCGAATTAATTTACTACATATGTCTAGACATATGAACCATAAATGACAAGTGATAGAAGTGACTTATGAAAGCTGTATTTGAAGGAGAGGGCTACACACTGCATTCAAGCAGATGGGCTTCAACCCGACTGATACACTGTTGCCATCTGTTGGATTTATGTTAATTTGCAGTAATGGACATGCTTAAAATTATGGTGAATTCTGAAAGGTAAATATTGTTGTTTTTACTCACTCTGAAGTATCAACAAGTAATCAAAGCCTGTAAAATGCTGTTTAGACCAGCCCTATAGGTGAAACTAGGGAACTATGCTTTTCCAGCACTGGCTCCCTGTTTCAACCAATAAGTGTATATATCATATGTATCATATATAGTCAATGTTTCCAGCTCCTCTGCAATTTTAGCCTCTAGGTCTTGTACATACAGCTTGTATATTCCTGTTACGGAGGCTCTCAAGAGGAACCGTTACTTTCCACTTTACTGTTGCTTTTGCCAACAGTGGCGTTGATTAATTAATTGTGATCTTAACTTTGACAGCCCTAGTGTAATAAATATTTGACAGTATCTGTGAGCTGTAGAGGAGAAGCAGTGTACTTCGTACCAGAACATTTGTTAAATTCATTGTGTGTGTGTGTGTGTGTGTGTGTGTGTGTGTGTGTTTGACAGGACAACCTGGAAAAGAACGGACCAAGGGTCCTGGATCTGGAGCTGGAGTTTGATGAGCGAGCAGTTCTGCTGGAGAACATTGTTTATCTGACCAACTCTCTGGAGGTAGGCAGGGGGGCAGCTGTGCAGAGTAGCCAGTATTTCTGAAAAGTAGTCAAGAATCTGATGCAGCACCATAAATTACTGCGTAAACCCAAACCTCTTCAAGTGCTTGCATTTTAGCAGAATATCATGAATAACTAGTTGGCTGTTCCTCTTAAGCACTTTCCTGTCTCTTTATAAGGTTTAAAGAATTACTTCCACTGACATAATCAGCTAATTTAAAGTCTGTGCCATTTTCATCTGTATAAATTATGTACTCAAGTAATTTGTCACATTTAAGCAAGGATTGTTACATCCCTCTCTTTCTGTTTCTGTCTGTAGCTGGATCACATAGACGTGCTGTTTGCCTCTGAGGCCGACGACAAAGTAAAGGAGGACTGTTGCCCGGGGAAACCGTTTAGTGTCTTCAGATCTGAGGTATGGCTGTTGCGGCAACCGCCCACCCACACAAAAAAGGCTTCGTCTATTGTTTCTGCTTTTTAATGGCTGATCAGCCTTCCACTACACACTGTGAGATAAGCGGGCTAATTTTAGCAACGCTCTCTGCATTGTTAATGCTGCTGAGACACAGTTACGGTTGTCATTCAGGCACTAACTGTTCTATGAGTCAATGCCAGGGTTGTGGTGTTTTTACAAGCTGGAACAATAGAAAAAGGATGTAATGTTATCTATTGAATATTTCACAACAGTACATGCAAGCACCCTGTACATAGTTGTATATACACCTAGGTTGTGCCACTGATAAGGCATAAAATCTGTATGACTGTATACCAGTGTTGTAGCTTTTGTATAAATATGATGTTTAAAAAAACCACACACTGTTATTAGTAAAACATTATAGATCATTAAGCTACAAGTTCTTTTTTTTTTCTTGCTCCCCTGGACACTCTAGCCTGGAGTGTCAGTGTGCCTTCTGAACCCTCAGCCATCCAACGGTCTCTTCTCTACCCGAATCGACATCCGCCAAGGAGACAGCAAGGACAGCATTATCCGCAGACTGTCCAAAGCCAACAGAGGCATCAAAGGTTAGACTTAAATTAAACTGACATCTTTTTAAATTCTATAAAAATAAAAATGTATTTACCTGGCCCAGGTATGTTAGGAGTTGAAATCATGATGACCAATGACCATGTTTGGTTGGGAATGTCTGGTCTTGTGGACAGTGTTACTAACTCCAGCTTTCTTCTTGGTCAGACTTATCCAAAGTGAAGCTGATGCGGTTTGAGGACCCAGTGCTTGGCCCCCGCAGGGTGCCCGTTTTGGGAAAAGAAGAGCAGGGCAAACTCCCTATCTCAGACAAGTCTGTTTTCCACATCAACTTAGAGGACAAGAAGGTACATTTGAGTGACAACGGCCTCAAGGTGGACATTGGAGACACTCTTATCTACCTAGTCCAGTGAGATTTGGGACTCTTCATAAGGGGGGAAAGCAGCCATCGCAGTTTCTACAGTTTCTACTTCTTCCACTGATCATTTCTTTCTGAAGTTCCTTCTAATAGCCATCTAGAAATAGTTTGTCCGAAATGGCTGTTTAGCATTAGCAAGCACGTAGTCTTGATGTAGAGTGCTAAGGCTAAAACAGCCTGGAAAGAAGTCAAAACCACTCTTTCTTTCTGAGGTTAGCAGGGACTGCAGTTGGTGAAAATAACAAGGTAAGCCATGCTTGACTGTAACAGTGACCATTCAGGTCAACGCTCTGTTTGTTTTTTTGTTTTTTGTTTTTTGGGTTGCTGTCATTTACAGTTAGGATATAGGAATGTCTCATGTTCTGTGGCTTATGTCTTAGGACATCATCTCCCTAATTGGAACATTATCTTCTGTTTTTCATCAGTATTCCGGTTCAGACCAACGTTTCTAACATAAAACAAATACATCCAATCATAAAAGCAGTGATTATTCTGAGTTGTGTGTGGACCTGTCAGCTTCTTACTCTATAAGAGTAAACACCATTTTCTGTGACTACTTCTATTTTATCCATGACTGTAAGAATATTCAATAAGGAACGTCTCCCCTTTCTGTTGTTTTCAAGCATCATTTTTCACAAATAGAATTTCATGTAGATGTTGAATGGAATGTGCTAAAAATAAAGGAATCCTCATAAGTCTTGGATGTTTTTTGTGACTGTGAATTAATCCACACATCTTTCGGTCTGCCACGTTATTAGTGAACCTCTATGGGATATCCCAGTGAGTTGTTGCTTGTTTTCTTGTGAGCGAACCCGCAGCAGATTCAGAGGCAGAGCTTGAGGTAGCACGGTAAAAAGGGATGTGATCGGTTTAATGTGCATTTGGGCGTGCAGGAGCAGGAAATGAGGCGAGACGTCAACCTCAAGAGGACATGCACTTCTGCCTCATCTGAGTGTTTACTGAAGGAGCTTTTTACCAAGGAGCTGTAGCTTCAGACATAGGAGGTACAGTAGTAAATCCATTGTGGGGTGTATATTGTGTGGCACTGGTGGTATATTTTGTTTTCTTTTTCTTTTCTCTCCTCTCTCTTCTTGTGTTGTATGAATGAGGGTTGCTCAGTAGGCCAGTTATGTAAGTCTGGGAGGCCCACTGTGTGCTGTTTTGTGCTGAATGCCAATTTATTGTGCTACTTATTGTGTTGAGGTGGATGTTTATTTGGGCAAGTCGGCTGTGTGTTCTGCTGTTTTTGTGCATCTTAATTGGCTTTGGAATTGTGATTTGAATGTCTCGTGTCTACAGTAGGTGTACCACTTCTCCATTGTGTATTTCTCCGCTCTAATTTGAGTGTGCTTGCGCCTATGTGGCTGTGTATTAGCTACTCGGAGGAGACTGGTCTCTTATCAGTCCAGAGCAGCTGGCTGGTTTAGCTCCTCGGCCAGGCAGCTATCTGAAGGAGCACACCCCTGTCACTATGGGAAAGCTCACCCTTGTCTTCTCCCTCAGCCCCCTGTCAGCCTGAGGAATTTGTTACGCGCCGACGCCCCAACACCCACCACCATGTAAGTGTTCGCCCCCTATCAGGAGCCATCACTCGTGTGGAGGGTAACGTTGTCAAAACACTGTCAAAACATTCAGGTCAGGTGTATGTTCTTGTACTGGGCTGCTACCGTTCGCTCATTGAAAGCACATTGCCTGTGACACCAAGCTGTGCCTCTGTGGTTTTGCCATGCAGCAGCTACCTCTTCTGTCGTCTGAGCACAACAAGGAAGACTCAGGTGGACGTGGAACTGGAGACCGTGGAGCAGGAAGCTGGTCACCACACAGTGACAGGATGGAACTTCCTGTGCTTACTCAGCCAGGCCTCGGAGTGACCACCACAACGGTGACCACCATCACACAAACAGGAGGAGACTGGAGCACAGGGCTTTTTGAAGTGTGCAGCGACAGCAGCACATGTAAGATGTGTTCAAAAGTAGGTTTCTCTTTGTGAAAAGAGGTTTATGGTAAACGGATACATGACAGTCTAAATGTAGTACTAGCATTTTCCGCCTGAAAGAGTGGACTTACTTTTGTGAAACTGACCTGTAATCTGTGACCTGTAAAGGTTTAGACATAGTAGTAGTTTAAACAAAAAAGGCAATGGCCACCATGTACCATTATGCAGATATCAAGCTAATTAGTGCTTTTTACCTTCCATTCATTGTTAGAAATGTTGCATGTTTTATTCCTTTAAAGTGGTGTTAGATTGTATATATCAGGCTAATTGAATACTCATTTCTTTTTGAGGTTTTGTAAAAAGAAATATCATGAAGTATATTGACCAGAATTTTCATATTTTCCCAAGTTTGATCAGGGAACCAAAATGCACAATGATATTTGCATCAGGTATAAAGGAGTTAATGTGGACTAGAAAGGGATTCAATTTCCACAATACAAAAAGTCCTCAAAAAACTGATTCATAACATGTTTCTCAGTAAAGTGCTTTCATGTAAAATTAAACAGCAGTTAAACGAGGTAAAGTTGTGAGCGAGAATTTGTGATCTTTTGGGAATTATCTGGATTTCCTTAAATATCTTTTTCATACAAGTGATAATAAAGCATTTATTAACCTACATGCTATCTTTAATTAGTAAATGATTTGAAGAGACTTTCCACCAATTTCTCTAAAATAGGCTGAAGTTGTTAAGATGTAAATCAACACATTCAGGGCTGGGTTTCACCAATGCACAAAGATGATTCCTAAATGGTGCAGCGAGCATCACAGTGAACCCTCTCTCTACCAGTTAAGTGATCTTAACACTTGCTGCAAGATGCTTTTGGGAAACCAGGCCCAGAGTGGTTTGATGTGAAATACTTTGATGGTTTGATTGAGAATTGTGCACAGTTGCTCTGATAGGAAGCAGATGTCTGAAGTGTTGAATGCTTCTAAACACTACATCACAAAAAGCTTGAACAGAAATGGTTACAAATACATTTACCGACCATAACTAAGGTGATTATCATAAGGTGACACTTTTCCACTTTCCCTCAATCCATTTTAGATGAGCTTGGGCCCAGAGAAAGTGCCAGCGTTTCTGGATTCTGTTTCTATATTGTTTCTTCTTTGCGTTTTAGAGTTTTCACTTGCATTTGTAGATGCAGCGATAAACTGTTTTTATAACCAGTATTTTTAAGAAGTGTTTCTGAGCCTGTACAGTGATTTCTACTACAGAATCATATCTGTTTTTAATGCAGTGCCACCTGAGGGCCCAAAGATCACGCCAGCAAATACTCGTTTTCAGCCTTGTCCCTTGTATACAGAGATTTCTCCAGATTCTCTGAGTCTTTTAATGATATTATGTACTATAGATGATGAAAAGCAAAAGCTCTTTGCTATTTTACGTTGAGAAACATTTGTTGAATTGTTGCACTATTTGCCTGCGTTTCACAGAGTGGTGAACCCCTCCTCATCTTTACTTCTGAAAGACTCAGCCTCTCTGGGATGCTCTTTTTATACCCAATCATGTTACTGAAATGTTGCCAATTAACCACCAGGTGTTTTTTTAGCATTACACAACTTTACCAGCCTTTTGTTTCCCCCGTCCCAACTTTTTTGGAATATGTAGTTGGCATCAAATTCAAAATGGTCATATATTTTTCAAAAATCAATAACGTTTCTCAGTTTCAACACTTGATATGTTGTCTTTGTACTATTTTCAATGACACATAGGGTTTAATAGCATTTTGTTTTTATTTACATTTTGCTCAGTGTCCCAACCTTTTTGGAAATGGGGTTGTAAAATGGCTGTATTTGTGTTGTACACATGACAATCCAATTGTAAAGAAATCTAAGTGGGTGATTTTCTGTTCAATACGCAATTTCACATAAACACCTCAGTGATTGAATATTGCTAAAGTTGGGAGAAAATCATTAGAATTTCCCCTCAAACAGTCAATGCTGTTATTGTGAATTTATATTGGTGGTATTGGTATTTTGTGTGTTGGTGGGTTTGTGCAGTTCAGTGAGATTTAGCTCAGGACTCTCACTTGTCCATTCTAAAATACTTAATTTCTTATGCTGGTCTCTGAACGACTCTATTGTATGTATGTTTCTTACAGCTTCTTACATTTAATTTTGTGTTTCATTTTGAAGCTGTTTTACATTGTATTGTAACATTTCCTGAAATCACTTATTGGAATTCTCCTTCTTCATAGTAGAGATGAGGTTTCGATGTTTGTATGCAGTGTTTTTGCAAAATGTCCAAATATGACCATAGTATTTTGTCACTTTACTGATGTTGAACTGCAACAGAATTACACTGTTTTGCTACACATTCATTCTGTTTTGTTCAAGAAGACTCATGATCATATTTTACTTTATCAGGTGCAAGAGATACTTGGCTGTGACCACAGGACAGTGGTATTCAACCCCAGTTTTGGAGAGATAGTGTCCAGCAGTTTGGTAATTCCCTACCTAAACACACCCACAACCTGGCAATAAAAGGACAAGTTGAATCAGGTTCCTACTCTGGAAAATACCAAACTGTGCTGGACACCAGCCCTTCAGGACTGGAGCTGAATATCCATGCCACAGTCTTCTTTATCAAACTGTTTGAGTGTGAAGAATGTCCGTTCACCGGTCTTTGTGGAATGTACACTCCTAGGGAGAGCATGATGAATTTCTAACATATGTAAACTCTGCCTGACTGTTGACTGACGAAAGATGCCAGTAGAAATTTCTGGTCTTGAGATTCCACAACTTTTCATCTGAAATTCTATAAAAACTATTTTGTTTGAGCCCTATTGAAATCTTGAACTTATGTTTGATGTTATAATGATACCCAACCCAAAGGTCTTTCACTCACAGCAGTGTCAAACCCAGACAGAACCCAACCGTGGGTCATTCAATTAGAATAGTGTTTCCCAACCATGGTCGAGGAGGCACACTGCCTGCAAATTTTAGTGCTTTCCATGCTTTAACACAGCCACTTCAACATAGTAAGGGGTTGTTAATGAGCTTAATGAGTCATTGGATCAGGTGTGTTGGGAGCAGAAATAACATTAAAATGTGCAGGGCAATGCACATCACGGACCAGAGGTTTAGGAAACACTGTCTTAGAGGGTGGGGCACTTGACCATCAATGATCTTGACTTTTTAAACCAGGGGTGTCCACCATAATCCTCAAAGGGCCGATGTGGCTGCAGGTTTGCATTCAAAACAAGCAGAAAAAAAAAACAAGCGCCCCTGGGAATAAGACTGGACATGCGTGGTTTAAACCACCCACTCAGTAACCCAATAAAAAATGATGTGTTACAGAACAGTCTTAATTTGATCTGAGTCATAATAATAAATAAAGTCTGAAGAGCCATTTATGTAGAAATCTAGATAATTCCAGAATGCTCACAAACTTTTTCTCAAAAGTGACATTTTTATAAGGTATTTTAAACATATTAGACCCCTGACTGCCCCTGTGGCAATTACTTTATTGGATGTTTGGGACGCTCGAGTTATGATTTTAACCTTTAAGTAGCATCATGATAATTGGAGCTACAGCTGCTTCTACTTCACAACTGTAGTATCAGTATGAAAACGTTAATGAAGAATAATTCCATTCTCTTTCTTGACTTTGTTCTTCTCTACTTTTCTCTCCAATAGGCTTGGTGGGTACATTTGTGCCCTGCTGTTTGGATATGAGTTTGGCTCATCAGTTTGGAGAGTGCCTGTGTCTGCCTCTGCTACCTGGCTCCACCTTTGCTATGCGGGTTGGCATCAGGGAGCGTTTTAAAATCAGGGTGGGTGAAAAATGCTAAATTAAAAATGTTAGAAATGAGTAATAGCGTGACAAATCAATGCCGGACTGAATTTAATCAAAAGCCTGGCCATGGTATTCTGAACTTTGAAAATATCGCAGATACGTTTAGCAAATCATGATGCAGGTTAGACATTTATGCAAATTCAGTGATGCATCTAGCCAAAAATTAAGGTTTTCAGAGCAGTGGACGAATGGATTTAGTCATGGAGTTAGTGAGGTTTTCTCTGGCCTTTAGCTTGCAGAATCACAACCTTCACATCATGTAGATTTCTGCCATAACATGTGACGCTCTTTTTACTAACTTGTAAGATCTTCCAGTTTGTTTTGTAACAACCTTTAACATCATGATGTAATATAAAAACTTCAATCTTATCAGAAAAAGGGCTTTGTAAACAGTATTGCTGTGATACACCAGTCAAACCTTATGGATGATGTTTTTCGACCAAAAACAGCTACATGAAAGCTTCGTTTGATCTTCACTGAATTTACATATAAATGTGCTTAGGGTGCCTTTTGGACTCACTCTTGCAAATAGGTGACAGTTAAACAGAAAACAAGACAAAATAAAAACAAAAATATACTATATCCAAAAACATCCTTGAAATAAACCTGATAGGTAGCCTGTAGTCTTATTTACACTTCAAAATTTAGATGTTCCTCACATGCGTGTTTACAAGCCGTATCTGTATCAGAATGTGTTCGTGTATACACTGTCCTACACTCTTAAAAAAGATGGTTCTTTAGTAAAGAAAATGTCCTACATAGAACCATGAACTCAAGAACCCTTTGCATGATTAAAGGGTTCTTTGCATTATAAAAGGGTTCCTCAGATTGATGGAGAATATGCTGTGGATGGTTCTATATAGAGCCTTTTTGAAAAGGGTTCTATAAGGACTAAAAAGCGTTCTTATATCGTTTCGATGTCAAGCTTGTAACAATAGAAGAGTCCTTTTTGGTGCTATATAGAACCCTTTTCAAAAAGGTTCTATATAGAACCATCTACAGCATATTCTCTATGAATGTGAAGAACCCTTTATTCATGCAAATGGTTCTTTGAGCGTTCATGGTTTTATATAGGACCATTTTCTTTACTAAAGAACCCTTCAAGAACCAATAAGTATGTATGATGGAAAATGTGCTTTAATGTGCTATAGATGGTCCTATATGGAACCTTTTTGAAAAGCGTTCTTAAATTGTTTCGATGTCAAGCTTGTAACAATAGAAGAGCCCTTTTTGGTGATATATAGAACCCTTTTCAAAAAGGTTCTATATAGAACCATCTACAGCATATTCTCTATCAATCTGAAGAACCCTTTAATGGTGCTAAGAACCCTTTATTTATGCAGTGTTCTTTGAATGTTCATGGTTTTATATAGGACCATTTCCTTTAATAAAGATCTCTAGAAGAAGCATAATTTTTAAGTATGTATGATGGAAAATGTGCATGAATGTGCTATAGATGGTTCTATATAAAACATTTTTGAAAAGGGTTCTGCTATTGTTACAAACTTGACATCATAACAGTAGAAGAACCTTTTTGGGTGCAATATAGAACCATCTACAGCACATTCTCCATCAATCTGAAGAACACTTTCATGATGCAAAGAACACTTTAGAAGGGTTCTTTTGGTGTACATGGTTCTAAAGAACCGTCGAAGAACCATCATTTTTCAAGAGTGTACAGGATGCACACAGCTCTTCTAATTAGTGAAATCAGCTAGTTTAAGGTGCACCCATTACTGACGCAGGTGTTCCTCTGCACACACAGCTTGTGTAATCTCCATAGAAAAGCACTGCCAATGAAATGGGACGCTGCGGAGCAGCCACACATGAGCCTAATGTCACCATGCCCAATGCCAAGCATCGGATAGAGGACTATAAAGACCCCCAGCATTGGGCTGTAGAGCAGTGGAGCTGTGTTCTCTGGAGTGATAGAGCTGCATTTAGTAGCTTTGGGATGAGTTGGAGCGATTTTGTGATCCAGAACTAATCATTCAACATCAGTATATGATTTCTCTAACGCTCTCGTGCCTGAATGCAATCAAATCCTCACAGCAATGTTCCAACATCTAGTAGGCTGTTACTACAGCCAAAGGGGAGACAAACTCTCTATTAATGCCCTGGATTTTAGAAGAAACGTTGGATGATGTTCTCCCTTCTCCATCTGCTCAGCTAAGAAAACATGTCGGAATCTGGTTAGTGACCTATTCCGGCAGGTTCTAGTACTGTGGAGAAAAAAACACGCTGGGCTGCTAAAAAATATAATGACAAAAAACTTATTAAAAGAGGAATCAGCAATGGAGGCACTTTTCAAACATGCAGTTATTAAGTTTGAAGGGGGTAAATTTGCTTTATCGGGGGGCAGGGGGGGAGAGCAGTATTGTAGCCTTCTCTTAATTCTTATATCTTTTAGCTAGGTTCCTGAAAGCAAGCAACCCACCCTGAGATAAATTAGCTGATAGCTATGGTATTCACTGTTATTAACGTCTTGTGAAACTGTTGTTTTAGCTAAGTCCACACTCATTGTGCTCTGCCGATGTAGGCTATATGGAGTATTTTGATCTCCTCTCAAGGAACATTAGCATAATGCCATACTTTTACCATCTATATCTTAATAACAAGGTCAGGCAGTTCCCCTAATAGACAGTCGACCTCATCGAAAGTGAAGTCATGACAGTGCTTGTTAATGAACTCAATACTGGGCACTGTTGATTCTGTGGGCATTGTGCTGATGGGTGGGGAATGGTAGGTGGCTCCAGGGAGTGAGAAAAAAATCATGTTCTTGTAGTTCACCCATTTAACCATTAGAGGTTCATGTATCTTAAATTTTAAAACATGCAACTGCTAAAAGTGAAATCGTACTTAAAGTGGAAAGTCCCTGTTTTATTTACAGGAATCAAATTATACAAACGAAGTCTACTAATTAGAATTCCTCTGTCCTTCGAGGCACTTTTAACGTATCTTATCCATAATGGCTTCTTTAAATTAGACAAGGAGACGTTTGCAAACATTGCATTAAATGCTTGGACCCCTATGGTTGCTGCTTGCAATGGTGGTGCTATTGGTATTGAATGTATGGATTGTTGATTCTAGTATCAGCTACTGAAACTACTAGCAGACAAACATCACTGAAAATAAGTGGTGAGTATTGAATCACCCCTGCATACACTAAACTCAGAAGGAGATGATGGTCTGTGGTATTAATTTTTAGCCATGATCTGAAATACCTTGAATAACCTCCACTTCTCTCTTTGTGTGTGCATCTGTCTGTACCATCTGTGTCTGTAGGGCAATGTGTGTGAGGACTGGGCTACAGTATGCTTCTGCTACCCTTTGGCTCTTTGTCAGATGAGCCGGGAGATGAAGAGGAGGCTGAAGAGTCAGATTTACTCTGTTTCTACTGCACTGGAGTGCTCCTGAGAGAGAGAGAGAGAGAGAGAGAGAGAGTGAGAGAGAGAGCAAAAGAGAAAATGTGTGAGAGAGATGGGGATGTATATATGAAACTCTTAATAACAGAGAGGGTTTTATTAAGAGACCTGTCATTACTTCCTGGTTAAAGACCGATGTCTCTGGCATTTCAAAAGTATGTATAGATTGATGGATGGATGGATGGATGGATGGATGGATGGATGGATGGATGGATGGATGGATGGTTGGATGGATGAATGGATGGATGGTTGGATGGATGGGTAACAGGGGATTTGTTTATATATGCTTAATGTAGATGTATCGTCAGAATGCCTTCCCTTGTTCTATGTTTTGGTAGGTTATTTTATTGCACATTTTAATTTTGTTGAATATGTTTTCTTTCTTTTTAAGGAGCACGTCAGGTTACTGATGCAATACAAATGCATATTTCTAAAATTAGTTTGTGAAATAAAACCATTTGTGTAACTTGATGCATTATTAATTATTATTTATTTGCAATTTTCTGTTTGCACCTAGACCGGCAATGACAGGAAATACAGTTTTGAGGAAGCTGAGAATCCTTTGCAGTTATTTTAGCATGAAATGCTCCTAAAATTTTATCTTTCTCTAGACAGTTATATATAATCTTGTTTTGCTCACAATTTTACATTACCTTGTCATTATTTATTTACTGTTAAACAATCAAGGTGGTATATAGGTAATGTATGTTAACCCTTTTGGATAATGATAATGTTCTAATCGTAGGGCTGGTCAAACCTAAGTTCTACTGAGGTCCAGTATGATCAATGACTTGGGCTTCCACTAGCTCACAGTCAGGCAAAGTAGTTTACAAATGGAAGAAACACAGCTAATTGCATTTCATCCTGCAAAGGGGATATTGTAGAATCAATGGAAAAGTAACAAAGACCCCCAGGGTGACAGCTAAGGATCAAGACAGGCTTGTACTAAAACATACGGTAATCAAATCTGAATAAGAATGTTCCTAGAGGGTAACTATGGAGGAAACAAGTTGCCCATTGGAAGTTTGCTAAAGACCACATGGATATAACACAAACCTCCTGGAACATTGGGCCTCATTCACCAACTGTTCTAAAGAATATTCTCCTTAAATCCCACAGTTTTCACAAAGATTCTGACATTCACCAGTGTTTTCTTATTTGGGATTTGTTCTCAGGTAAGAACAGCATCTACACAGACTCAAGAGCACAAAAGTGCAAACAATACTGTGATTTAAGAACACATCATGAAGAAAAAACTCGATATTCATAAATGAGGCCCAATGTTCTTGGACATACACCGCCAGTCATAAGTTTGGACACTTTATTGTATGTATTCCAATTCTCTGGAATGTCTTTTGGTCTAAGGGCTTGTGCTTAAATGTTTCAGAGTTGAATATGAATATTCAAATAGTTCGATCTCTGGTGATGCTACAGGCATCTATGGCCAGGAGTCCAAAAGAGCACAGCTGGCCTTGCTCTCTCTGGATGGATAGAATGGTCCTCCCTCTCCCCCCATCAATCAGCGCAATGCTAGTCAGCGCAGGTGTGTGTTAGCTGGCATAACAGAACTGGCGGTTAGCGATACCCTCCAAGCTGTCCAAGGACGTTGCATTAGTGGCAGTTTGAAAAGATGCAGTGGTGCTTCACAAGACTCAGAGGAAGCTTGTGTTAACCTTCACCCTCCTAGCGCTGGTGGGGTCAGGTAATTGGGGGAGACTTAGCTAGTGGGTGGAATTGGACATTACCAAAGTGGGAAAAAATCCAAATTAACACCTATATATATATTTGTATCCAAAAACAAACAAACAAAGTTTTAATTGAGGACTTTATTGCACCCATTTCTCATCTATGATTGTCGTATGTTTTTCTCGTTAAAAGTTAATTAGTGGAAATGTCTGTCCTTTCAGCCAGTCAGGGGTGTTATGATAAGGGAGGACACAGTCTAAATAGACTTATTTGATAGAAGACTAATATTTCAGATTCTAGCAATTCCATACAAAGTGTCAGATAGAAGCTTTGATGTATTTGTTATTCTAAAGTGTGATAAATTGAAAAATAAACTGCAATAGGTGTGTCCAAACTTTTGATTGATAGTATATGACATAGAAGGTGAACTTTTTGGTAACTATACAATGCACTATGTTTGGATAAAACAAAACATTACCTACCAACACCAAGTCCTATTGTACTGTGAACTGTGAAACACAGTGTGTCCAATAGAAGAAAGTCCATATTTTGAGAGTCCTGTTCTGCACAGCAAGCTGCTCAAGAAGTCCTTCCAAAAATATACATGAATTAAAGTTGTTTTTTTTTAAATAGAGAACTGGGCCTCAATACCTCCAAACCACTGTACAGCTGTTGGCGAAAATGAGGCTCAACATACATTTTTTTTTCATCAATGGCCTGTTTAACACATTTCTTTTAAATATAAAAGGTGTAAATTATGGCACTATAAAATGTTGTGTGTAAATTAAGACTTCCTGTATTTATTGTTCTACCATTCCAAATCATTTTGCTGTATCCAAGTACTGTTCTTCATATTTAAGCCACTGACTGAAGCAGTGAGAACCTGTAAGTAGATTTTACACACATAGGCAGACCAAACATCTCACTCCCTTTTTCTACTAAAGCCTTATCTGTGCATATTCCAGTGGAGGGCACTGTTGCCACACTCACTCACACACACACACACACACACCTTCCCTCCTTTCCTCTGTGGGCCACAAAAATGTATGTACGCTGTAGTAGGTACAGCTGAGGGCTTTCTCTCTGCCTCCTGGGCAGGGAGACCACAAGAGCCTTTGGTGCTGTTGATTCAAGCCTAGAGAGGAATGGAAAAGGGGAGGAATACAGAAGAAAAACAACAGCAGGCTCAACTCCCTCTTGTTCCACTTCCGTATTCCACGGAAGCAGTTTGCAACTCCTAGCTGAATGTCAAATTTGTATCAAGGCCTATACATTTCAGTTTGTGTCTTCCATGGGGTGGGCGGCCATGCTGAAACACAAACTGAGCCAACAGAGCAAAGAGAAAAAACGGAGAAGTGCAATGTTATTTTGCAACCGTGGCACTTTTTTTTACCCCTCAACTGTGTCTTCACTTTCCTTTCCATGTCCCTTGTTGGGGAGATTTTGTGTCCGTGACGTGCATATGCGTGTGAATGAGAGAGAGACAGAGAGTGTTTGGTGGAGTGGCATCCCCTTGGTGAATGTTCCATCCAGGGCAACCGCAAGGCCACCTGGGGGTTGGTGTAGCGTGCTGTTTCTCGGAGCGAGGGCCAATCAGATGTTCCATGACCAAGCAGACAGCTTTATAGCGAGGAGGGGGGAAAAATCTTCTGTAGCTGGAAGACAAACACTTGTTTGGACTGGATTTAGCCAACAGACCCAAAAGGCAGGCTGTTTTTTTGCTCTTCGAGTAGCAAACCGGGAACAAATAGCCATGCTGCCAAAAGGAGGGGTTTGCTTCTCAGCTTGGTCATGCCTTTAGCCTGAAACACACTGTTGGGTTGATATACAGGGAGTTCAGAAGTGGTTTTGTATAGTTTAGATTGATATTCTTCAGGGACTGAGGTCTATCACCTCTACTGGCCTCAAGTTATGTAGTGAGGAATAGGGAAAAACTGGCATGAAGCAAGGTCAAGTCTCTTGTTCCATATCCAGAAGTATATAACTCATAGTGAATTGACCTGTGCAAGCTCTGCCCACAAATGCGTGTTTTCACAGCAACTAGGCAAGGTTGGACAAAGTTTACAGAACGCTGGCAGAAATCCCATTCAACCCAAATGAGAACTGTAGCGCATTACATTTAGAGTGCATTATTTGCTTCAAATAAGTTTCATTTTGTATGCGTGTAAAAGATATCACTGTTAAGCAACGGCATTGTGAAGAACTTTGGGCCCCCTGAAAGAATACTGCTCTTATGTATATATATATATACACAAATATGTTTTTATTATTTATTTAATAATAAATAAATAAATAGAAATATAATCTACGCTCATTGTCCATTTTATCAGCTCCACTTACTATATAGGTGCACTTTGTAGTTCTACAGTTACAGACTGTAGTCCATCTGTTTCTCTGCATACTTTGTTAGCCCCCTTTTACCCTGTTCTTCAGTGGTCAGGAACCTCATGGACCCTCACAGAGCAGGTACTATTTGGGCAGTAGATCATTCTCAGCACTGCAGTAACACTGATATCCAGCCAACAGCGTCCTGTGGGCAGCGTCTTGTGACCACTGATGAAGGACTAGAGGATGACCAACACAAACTGTGCAGCAGCAGATGAGCTATCGTCCCTGACTTTATATCTACAAGGTGGACCAACAAGGTAGGAGTGTCTAATAGAGTGGACAGTGAGCACTGCTGTGTCTGATCCACTCGTACCAGCGCAACACACACTAACACACCACCACCACGTCAGTGTTACTGCAGTGCTGAGAATGAAGGGAGAATATTTTTAACTGCATTAATGAATATTGCATGATTTTGGGTTTGTTCTTGAAACTGAAATATTAACATTGTTATTTTATTTGTAGATACATTAAAGGGAAATTATTATGATGCATAATTAGATCTAGATTTAAACATTCAGTGTCATGGAGAGTGGTTTGATGTGAAATGCTCTGTTCTTTCTTCTTACCAAATCAGATTCTCTTTACAGTGGTGGTGATAGGAACCAGGGGTCACAATGTCTACAACACAAATAGAGCCATTTTATTCACTATCCAAAACCACCATTGAACCACGTGTCTTCTGAGTTTTAAATGTAAAGTTGGTCATGGATATATCTTGATAAATCTGAAAAATTAAGTTTTCTTTTGGTTCTATTTTGCCTTACAACACCCTGTAAAGCAAATGTACCTCTCCAACATTAATGGATAAAAATTTTATTTTAAGCCAAAACCTTCTCTCAAAAAGAGCATAAACAATGCCTCATAAGAACATAAAACAACGATTTCATGTAATAACTTTCTGTGAGGGAACATTTAGAGGCATTAAACCCTCAGATGTCTGGTTCCTATCACCACCTCTGGGAAAAATTCTGTCTCTGTAAGTACCTCTAGAACATAAAACCAGTCTGAGGATAACACAGAAACTGAATTTTTAACTGATAATATCTTGAAATATCAAAACACTCAAAACGTGAGACCCTCCTTGACACTGCATTACATTTAGAAATACATCTTGGTGTGGAAGGAAATGCAATTTGTGATTCACATTTTAAATTAAATTCGTACTGGAATTTTCTTTACAGTGGCAACCCCCAGAACCATCACTTTCACCTGACTTGCAACGGCCTGGCTGGTAGGACAGGTTGCTGTTGTACTATTTTTGTTGTTAAATCCAGGTTTTTAGGGGCAAATATCTGATTGCTGATGTGCTGGTAGCTAGAACTATCCATATATTTAAGGTATATAGGGGTACCGGGATGCATAACCAGGAATGGCATCTCGTCCTATAAATCAGAATTAATTATATATAGTCCTATAAATCATTCTACTGATACTGTGGTCCAACATTTACAGTGAAATAAGCATTGGTAGGACCACTGTTCCACAGAAGACCACTGCGGAAGTGGACTTTGAAGTTGTGTATCGTCCCAACACCTTTGATGCTTTGTCCCTCTGTACTGTAGCAGGTTTGTTAGCACTGTGCGCAAACCTACTTGGTTGCGCGTTGTGCCTTTTATCTTTCTCCACGGGCTTCCAAGGTCCTGCATTGATTGATGCTGCAATCCTTTCATCCTCCGCAGTTGATTCATGGCTGGGCGGTAGCTGTAATCTGGGTGGTTCTGGCCATTCAGTGAAGAATAGGTCACAGGAGAGACACTGGCCCCTTCCTGGTGACTAGTGCAGATCTAGCACTAATGATTTGTCGTTATGAGGAAACTGCAGCAATTCATATGGCCATGCTCAACTGTCTGAAGCAGAATCATAGCCTAAGAAGAGTTTACTGTGGAGAAGCTCCATTCAGATTGCTCCTAATAAAGTTTCAGTGGGTCATGACACTGTTTTAGCAGTCACCTTCAAAGAAACTGACCCCCCTACTTTCACTGAAACTGTGCTTACCATTTGAAAAATATCTTCATTTATTACCAAGAGCATCTTTGTTCTGATGACAACATCATGCTTGGTGACCTTCTTTGGCAGGTTATATTTTAGGTCTAGGCAACAAGGTCGTCAAAAATAGAACACTGACAACAGACCACCCAAGGGGATTAATGACACAACAGTGATAGGACGTAATGGATCAAGAACAGCCACAAAGGCACACACTCTCACGAGGAACTGGAGATGTGCCAGGATTCTCACCAAGCATCTAAAATCACCAGTACCATTCAGAATGTTCATAGCTGGTTATAGAGCAAAAGAGAGACAGAAAGAGTGTCGATTTTACATGACTGCCTTTGAAAATATGTTACTTGAGTACTTTCATCCATTCAATGTTCTGACAGGACCGAATGCCAAGACTTTTCAGATGGACAGATGGAGTACCATTCGGCA